ATATTTTTTGTTTGTTAACTTTTTTTGTCTGTTTTCAAATAAAACAAACAAAAACATTAAACGCATGGTATGCTATTTTTTGTTTAGCTAAAATGTTCAATAAAACAAAACTCATCAATTAATAAAATAAAATAAGTCAAACTAAGAATAAGCGAAACATAAAAAGAGAACAACCCACAAAAAGAGCGAATCCAAATGCTAATTAATTTTTTCTTCATTTATATGAAAAAATAAAATATAAAAAAATAACAAACAAAAAATAATAAAGAAACAAAAAATAGGACAAAACAATATCAAAAAAATAAAAAAGTAAAACAAACAATAAAATAAAACACTTCTTAAGAGAATAGATAAAAAAACTTACAAAAAAAAGTTTACAAAAAACCCGTAACCAAACAAATAATATAAAAGTATCAAGAAAAAAAGAAAAAAATTAACAAAAAAAACAAACAAATAAGAACGAAAAAAACAAAAAACAAAAAAACAAAAAAATGTGAAAAAGGAAAGACAAAAAGAGGGAGCTCAAGAAGAGAGTGAGGGGGGATGCTGGAAAAAAAGAGGAAAGGAAGGGGGGCAGGATGGGGGCTGGGAGGGGAAAGGGGTGGGGTGAGGGGAGCTTTGAAGAAGAAGAATAAAAGGGGGTGGAAGAAGAAGAAGAAAAGGGGTGAAAGAAGAAGAAGACAAAGAAGGGGTGGGGGAGGAAAAAGAATAAAAAGAAACGGGGTCAATTAAAATACAAGAAATTAAAATTTGGCCCAAATGACCTGCTGGTTACCTGAAAACCGGCTTCAGGTACCATTCGTGAAAGGTTTTCAAAGTTCAGGGATTTTTTTGAAAGGTTTTGAAGTTTAGGAACCGAATCAAAATTTTCGTGAAAGTTGAGGTACCATTTTTGAAATTTACTCGTCTACAAGTTTTCACCCGTCTTCACAAAACCCGTAGAGATAAAACCTGGTTGAAGACATGATTGGATGCAATGTGAATAACACCATAAGATAGCTGAAATTTAAGTCGTGAAACCCATTTCTCTTAGTTTATGACAAAGCGAAACTATTTTACATGTTGCTTCTGTCATAGGCTATAAGGAACAAGGAATATGTTGAACATCAAACCAATAGTCAACGATTGGGGATGAAAAAATACTGACTCACAACACTTACTGTATATGCTATGTTTGGGCGAGTCAACGTTAGAGCCATAGTTGTTAAGGTGTCGCCTAGGCAATAAGGCGTTATGCCATGGACGCCTTATCTATCTGCTTTGCCCAGAAACCCTCAAGGCGTTAAGGCGCTCGCCTAGGCATTGACTTACCCTCACCGTGGTTGCCTTACCCTCGCTTTAGGCCTAAGTGCCCTGGGCAATTTTTTAAAATTTGAAAGCCAAATTTAAAATGTTTGACTTAACATCGCCTTATCTCTTGGATCTAAATGATGATGGGTATCCTGAAGATGACTATGGTGTTGATTTATCTAGTGTCCATGATGAGTCTATGGATATACATATTGATATCCATATGAATGACATGTTCTAGGATAATTTTTAAACTTGAATGTTTGAGTGATTAAACTAGTAGGATGGAGATGAACTTTTATTTGAATTGTGTTGTTATTTGTGATCTACATGCTTGTGATTACTTAGTTGTTTGTCTCAGATTATGTGCCGACTTTAATTACATATGTTGTGCCATATATCTAATTGTGGTTATATTGTGTGTGTGTGTGTATAAATACACACACACACACATATATATATAGGTCGCCTAATTGTCACCTAGGTGTACGCCTAGTCGCCCAATATGAAGGTACGTCGGTCCCTTGCCTAGCCTTGGCGCCTTAACAACCTTGGTTAGAGTATTTAATTTTCTCACCAATCTTCTATATCTCTCTGGACCTAGAAATGGCTTAGCCTATGTCAAATGTAGATTGTTCATCATATGAGTACTTCATGATTTGGCAGATAAATGTAACAGAATCAATAACATTCGTGGTGACAGAGTAAGTTTAAATTGACACCCATCCAATTGGTGTTAATTGGCGATACCAGTGCAATTGGAGAATAAAACTGACAATTTTAATCCCCACCCCTGCCCCCTTGCATCCCCCCCCCCATAGTTATCATGGCGACAAGTCGAGGCGCGGCGCTAGGATACCGCCAGGACGCCTAGTCGACTAGGCGACAATTTGGCGACACATAATATAAGAGACTTGCTATACATTAAAAACATTAATATAAATATATCAAACTATATATTGTAGTTGGTAAAGTTTAAATTTTTCTAATACATCAAAGTTTAACCACCAAAGTTACTTTTAAGTACACTTAACAAAAATAAAGTTGAATAAAAGCGTTACCGACTTAAGTTGGTAATAAACTAATCATTTAAAATTTAAAAAATTAAGCACCGAGTATTAATTAGTTTTCCATCATCTCCGATGGAGCCAAAATTTCACCATTATTTGGCTTTGGGGTGTGATGGAATAAATCAAAATGGATCTCTAAACTGTCTGCGCTTCTTTAATTAATGAAGTAGCAGTTAGTCAAACAATGCAACTTTCGACGTTGAGCCGGGGGTCTCTTTGGAAACAGCCTCTCTACTTTAGAGTAGGGGTAAGGTCTGCGTACACACACCCTCCCACCCTACTCTTGTGGGATTTAACTGGGTTGTTGTTGTTGTAAGCACCGAGTATTAATTAGGAAGATAAAGTAGAAAAAACACATTAACATGCAAATAAACTAATTTATAAAGCATTATAAAAACAAAGCACTGAAGCCGGGGGTATAAATCACTTTAAAAAATTAAGCACTAGAGTAAAAAAACAAAAGTACTGGACAAGGCAAGGCCACGACAAGCTCTCATGGCGAGAGTTAAAGGGCGCTTGGACGCCTAGGCGACACCGTGATAACTATGCCCCCCTCCCTTAATCACTGTTTTGGAAGAATTAATTCTGCTAAAATAACAATTAAGGAAAGGGGGTGTACGGCACTAGAGTGGGGGTAGGGGTGGGGGTAGAGCAGCGGTTGGAGGTAGGAGCCGTCAATTTTACGAACGAAACTTATTGAACTCGTGTCGCAATTGGTTGGCGTCAATATATATGCATGCATGCATCCATGCATCCATGCATGCATGCATCCGTGCGTGCGTGCGTGCGTGCGTGCGTGCGTGCGTGCGTGCGTACATACATACATACATACATACATACATACATACATACATACATACATACATACATACATACATACATACATACATACATACATACATACATACATACATACATACATACATACATACATACATACATACATACATACATATCTATGTGTATATATATATATATATATATATATATACATACATATATATAGAACACTATAGAACACTCTGTTTACTGTACAAATGTGGTGGGGGGTATCACCACACCAGTTCCTACTTGGGTGTCTTAACAACTGTGGTTAAGAGACACACGTATGTACCCGCTGCTAAAGGGTACCCGTCTGCAGTCTGCACCTGCAGTTTGGGTATACGTCCACACCAGCGTATGTGGTTTATGGTGTCTGCTTTCTGTCGGTAGTATATATGCTAAGGGCTAGCTACTGGCCAAAAGTGGTATCTTTAATATCTGGGTTTGGCTAAGCGGGAGGTCGTTGAGGTTAGCCATGGCGGTTGACGACACACTGTGATTCCCATTTCCTTGATCCTTTCTGGTGGTTACTTTGGGGGAGTTGTGATTTTGCAATGCCTCATGTCTGATGCTAGGCCACTCTTCCACTTGAATATCTTTGGGAATCTCACTCCTTATGGCGCACTCTCTGTCGTCTTGATTTTAGTGTGGGACTGGAGTTGGCTTCTTGCGTTGGTTGGAGCTGAGTACTTTGTGGATTTATGCTCTTTCTATTGGCACACTGCATTTCGGTTTTGGGCTTATTGGATTGGGCTGAGTTTGGACTTGTCATGTTATCCTTGGCAGCTTTAGCATCATTCTTCTGATTTCCACTGAATTGGGTTTGATCTGTGTTTGGGCTTTTCACTTGGTGGTTTGTGTGTGGGCCATGGTGTTGGCTTGGACTGTTCACGGGCTTCTGGGTATTTGGCATAATAGCATTGGCCTTTGGCTTTCTGGTTTGGAGTGGTATCGGACCTCGTGGCTTTGAGTCTTCTCTTTGGCACATGGAATTCTTATTTGGGCTTGATACTTGGCAGCATTTAGATGCTCTTCAATTGGACTGCTGTTAGGCTTTTATTTTGTTCGACATCTGGTCCCTTTCTTCTGAGCATGACGTATGGCGTGATTGGATTGGGCTTTCGGCATCACAGAGCTCTAGTTATGGACAGTTTTGGATTCGCGCCTTCATCTGCTTTCATTCATGCAATTAGGCTTTCAGATTTGATCTCCTTATTTTTATATTCATTACTTTATTTTAGCATTAGCTTTCCTAGCATAGTTTACCAGCTCTTGGCATTTTCTTTTATTTTTTCATCCATTAGGAGTATGGAGTTTGTTCCTACCTGCCTGACATTGTATTATTCTTTTGTTTATTAATAAAATTACCGTTTTGGTAAAAAAAAATGCCTCATGAAAAGTATTCCATAGAGATGAAATATCAACGAAGACTCCGAGTGTAACATTGATACCCCTTTTGGACACTTGAAGAACCAAAACGATACATTTTAATGATTTGGGATAGAATTGGTTAACTTGAGGACAAACATCCCTCACAAAACAAGTGCTGCTAAGATTTATGGCTCAATAGGATAAAAAGGCATATTAGTAAAGAACACCCCTCGCGATTTAAGTTTATTTTGTTGAACTCGCATGTTGGTGCAATAGTTGGAGTTACTTGCATGTGACTTGGAGACAAGAGGTTCAAGTCATGGAATCAGTTTCTCGCACATACAAGGTAAGGCTACCTAAATATGATCAGCTAATTGTCTCTGGCCCTTCCATGGACCCCACATATTGCTGGATCTCTTGTAACACCAGATTTCCCTTTATAGGTACTTTTTGCGGAACCAGTACATTTTTTAGATATTCATGCTTCAAGAAGTCCTTTTCACTAAGATTATATTCGGGGTTTGTATTCTCTTGCTCCATTAATACAATTTTATTTTTTTGTTAAAAAACTTTCACATGAATTAAAACTAAATGTAGGGCAGGAACTCACCAAGAACATTCCCATGGAGTGAGCCATAGCGGAGAAGTCGCAATCCACCAGCATTTGTTGAGATGTTTCCACCAATTTGGCAGCTTCCCTTAGCCCCTAGATCTAGTGGCATAACAAACCTAATAGAAGAGAGAGCTCATATTCACTTTAAAGCAATATGATAAATGATACAGTAGCAAAGAAGCTCATCCCACACCTTAAAAACAAGTACAAACCATAGTTGTCACAGCGTCGCCTAGGCATCCTGGCAGTCATCCCCTCTTGTCATGGTATATTGCCTCGCCTTTTTTGCATCCCTCGCCTAGGCGTCTAGGCATCGCCTTTTAGTCAGTGATTTTTTCCATACTCGGTATTTACTTTGCACTAAGAAGTCGCATATTGTATTTTAATCATATTTCGTATTCCATGTTCTTCTTTTTTCATATTATGGTGTGTATATTTTTTTATGTGTATTTGAAGTTTTGACTAGGTTTAGAGAACACGTATGTTTATATTTATATTAGTGCTACTAATATTTACCAATCCTAATTTCTTGTGTTGCTGCGTAGATCACCTAAGTGTTACCTAGGCAGTAATCTACGTGTCATGGCGATACAATGGCACCTTGCCTTGGCGCCGTGACAACTATGGTAAAAACCTTGTTGAGGGAAAAAATAAGAATGGGAAAATATATAAAAGAAGATAAACTTGAGACGAGTCTATGAACTCTAGTAGGTAATATAAACTTCACCAAAGTAAAAACCCAACTAGTTGATCCACAAGAATAAAGTAACATACGCATTCAAGCAATGTTGAATCACACAAGTCTTAAGTTCGTGGCTTCACATAATCACATAGCATGTATCCCATACATATCAAATTGTTCCTAAGATGAATATATTTGTGTTATAATCACCACACTAAACTAACAATAAGCTGGACACTGGAGCAATTGTGATGGAGCACAAAAAGGAAGCATTTTTACAAAGAAGTAGTGGAATGACAACAGACACAGTAAACGCAAATACAGAGTGGTAAAACAATAGCACACTCCAGACTGTCTAAGTTAGTAAACTTCAAGGTTAATTCGAGTAACTTACCCTTGGATATCTAGGAAAGCATTCAGGTTTTCCAAAATGCAACCTGCTTCACATACTAGTATACCACTAACCTGCAAAGGTCACAAGTGGCAATCAAATCCTGCAGCCCGGAACTATAAGAAAAACAATGATGAATATGTAGGTGGAGACTTTGATACGATAAAAATCATAACCAACTGATTACGCCAGAAAATTTGTCATTTCTCAAATCGCAATGAATAACTAACAATAAAGAGAAAGTGTAATGAATTAAAATATTTTGATTTACCTTGTCAAAGGAAATTATCTTGTTCATCGAACCGAGATTGATAATCACCTGTGAAGTTTTTCAAAATTAAAAAGTTAAAAATTTCAAAAACTATACTCCCTCTATCCCTAAATGAACTTCATTTTTACTATGCACAAGGCCAAACTATATCCTCTTTCCTTGTATTTTTAATCTTAATCATTTATTTAAAAAGTATAGTCATGACACCTTTTGTTTTATTGAACTTTTGATGTATTAAAATAAATAGAATTAAAAATAAATTGGTCAAACATCATAAACAAGACCCTTAAGTTTATTAAGGGACGGAGTGAGTAAAAATATATTCCAACCTCTAAATATACAAGGACAACAACAAAAATAACAACCCAGCTGAATCCCACGTGAGTAGGGCCTCGAGAGGTGTGTGTAAACAGACCTTGCCCCTACTCGAAAGTAGAGAGTATGTTTCCAATAGAACCCCGGCTCAAGTTGCACTGATATAAAAGATCGTAGGCAATATATAAAGCACAGAGAGCAAAAACTAGAGTTAATGAAGGGAAAGTAATGCAATCAAGCAAACACGACATACAAAGCACTCAACAAGTACAAGAAACAACCCTCTAGCCAAAGGCGCCTACCCAACTACTCTAATCCTAGCTTCCCAAATGCTCATATATAAGGCCATATCCTCAAAAAGGGTAAGAAGTCCTAAGTCTTTCCTTATCACTTCCTTCCAACTCTTCCTAGGTCTACCCCTTCCTCTACTTCCACCCACCAACGTAAGCCTCTCACATCTCCGCATTGCGGTGCCAGCATTTGGCTGCCTCGCCGCCTCACATGTCCAAACCACCTCAATCTCGCTTCCCGTAGCTTAGCTTCTAGAGGTGCCATGCCTACTCGACCTCGGATAACCTTGTTCGAAATCCTATCCAACCTCGTCTTCGCACATATCCACTGTAACATCAGCATCTCGACAGCATGCAGTCGACGAACGTGAGTTATCATAACCGCACAGCACTTTGCCGTATACAACATAGTTGGGGTAATGTTGTTATACACTAGGCACATGCTTTATCTCATCATTTATACAAGATTATACATGTCTCTCCATATCACCTTCCATGTATTGTCTATGTACTAAAGTCTCTTTATGTTTACCTAAGTAAAAAGTATTCCAAAACTAAGGTATGTCTCCTGAATGTGTATACATTGTATGCCAAATATATTGTGTGTGTCTGTGTGATATATTCAAATTACATGCACGAACCACACTATTTCATCATGCACAATAAAAGTGAAAGTGCTAAGTGGACAAATTATGAAGGAGTACATCTAGCCAGACATGGCCTATATTGCATAACTCGTTCCAACTTGCTCATTTTATGTCTTAAACAAAATATATTTGGCTAAATCTCTATAAGCATGGGTCACATACTCAATGGTTCCAAGAAACAAACAAGACTCTAACCTCATCAAACACAGGAACACTCCCTCCCACAAGGCCTGTATTTCCACCTTGAGGAACAACAGCAAGGCATCTGGAATTGCAATGTTTAAGAATCTGAGAAACCTATGGAAGCGCATGAAAATTATTAAGGCCAAAGACATAGATATATTCCATGGAGCAAGTTACTACCAGTTTGATAATAGAAAGTCAACCTCTTCTGAGCTTCCTGGTTTGAGCATAAGTTTACTTGCACCCTTGTATTTCTGCATCCAGTCCATGTTCGCCGTCTTAAGTGTTTCCTCATCTTCAACTACACCTCTTTCTCCTAATATCTTCTTGAAATGGCTAATATCATCTGAGTTTATTGTTGAAAATTTTGGGTTCCTCCTGATTGCAGTTGGGTCTGATGAAAAACATCTAGACTGTACACTGCAACTGGTTGCACCCAGGTAATATGGTGACCGGCAATATGTGTGAACGTACTTTTGGTAATTCACAATATGAGGAATTAGTGATCCAAGGGGTTTGAGAAAACCGTACATAAAACCTGTAACCCAGTACAGAGAAGGTATAGTTATGCAACACACAATAAAAACGCTTATACGATCACTCATTTGTCATTTGTAAATTTAAATTTCCACTTTTTTAATTAAATTAAACTATTTTATTCTTTTATTATTAAAAAAAAAAAAGAACCCCATCTTAGGCTGCGCCAGGCCCAGCTCAGCCCCCGCCCGTCCTGACGTTTTCCCTAGTCCGCGAAGTTCACAAATGACTGTGACACTGTATTTTGTGGTTTCTTATTCGTGGTTTTAGGTAGCTTCTTGCTTTTGGGAAATGAGTGAATTTCCTAGAAAACATTGCTTCATTTAAAATGAATGAATTTCCTAGACAGCATTTCATGGTAGCGGTACCTGAAGCTGGGCAACCGGAAGAAGTGAGGAAATGGCGGTTTGATTGATGATCAAGAAGTTGCTTAGAACCACATTTCAGTAGACGATTGGTAGCTCTCCAGATCTCCATGTTCTGAAGAAAATTAAAATGAGAGAAGAAAAAAATGGAGAGGCTCTTGCTTTGTTGTTGGATTCGGCCTTGGCTACTTTGTGTGTTGCTGAACGGAGGTGAATCTACTCCATTGGAGATGGCGGGGGCTTGTGGCCGTCTAGGCGTAAGACTGGGCTGAATCTACTCCATTGGAGTTAGTCTCTCGCTAACATTTTTCTCGGGAAAAATCTATTTGTACACCTGTAGTGGAAGTAGAACTACCCTTTTTCTCTTATCCTAAGGTATAATGATTCTGAATTTCTGATCACTAGTTAGAGAAAAGAAAAAAAGTAATTTACTAAAACATAATGACTTTCTCTAAATAGGATCATATGTTTTTATTTTCCAATGTAGAATTATTGGTCATTATCTATTAATCATTATTCAATTAAATGTCCAGCATCACTAGGACATTATTCTTAAGAAAACTCATTAAATAGGAGTAAATCATGAGACATATCCTCAAAATAGGAGTCTCTAACTTATATACCCAAAATAGGAGTAATTAATAAAACTCCCCACCCCTATCTTGATCAATCCGCTCCCCTTCTTCTCCCAATCCCTAGCCGATCTTCCCTGTCATTCTTCCTTTTATTTAGGGGTTGGAGAATTGGAAATACACATTGTGTTCAACTTTGGTCATATATGTGCTCCGAAGTTGTCTTTTTTCCCATAATTAACACCTGTGTGTAAAGATATGACTTTTTTTAAAATCAAAACAAAAGCAAACTTTTATCTTTTCTTCACACATCATTTGTGTTGTGATGTGGCTTTTATAAAACCAAAATAGTTAGGTAATTTTAAATATTGTGTGGAGTAAATTATTAGCATTATTGTTTTTTAGATTGTTGTTGTTGGCATTGTATGTTGGCAAATCGAAGTACTTCTTGACACTTTACAATATTTATGGCATTATATATTGACATATTTAATATTATCCAGTGACATGTTTGTTATTGTACGTTGCAATCTTTGACATTGTTGCTTCGGTTGACATTATATAGATAATTCTTTTTTACAGTAATTTGTGGCATTATGACACTTAGGCGGCGGCGATTGCAGATCGTTATGGTGTCAGCAGTGATGGAGCAGAATTGGTGGCGTTGGTAGCGACGTGAAAAATCACCGCGAAGGGTACATTGTTGTGTCGGGGCACGGCAGCGACGGGGATCAACAACCCGATTTTTTTGTTTTAGGGATGTACTCAATAAGTTATTTTTGTTTATTTTTTTTATTTTTCCTTTTTATTTTTTTTCTCTCTATGTTGGCCAAAACATAGCCTTGCAAGAAAACACTTACTAATGAGTGTCTTTGATATCTACCCGCAGCAAAACAAGGAGAACGCAGGTCTGTAAGCTTTAGGAAATGAATTTAGTTTAATAGGGAGCATTTAAATAAATAACTCCTATTTTGGGGAGTTTTCTTTTCTACTCTTATTTTGGCATATTATCTATGTTTTGCTCCTATTTTGCTCCTTAACTCATTATTCTTCTCGCTAGTCATTATTAAGTCCTATTTAAGGAATAAAAAAGTTTAAGTCCTACGTTGGGAAATGACTTATGTTTTAGTCCTATTCAGTGCAAATTTCACAAAAGAAAATAAAATAAAAAATTCAAAAACACTACCAAAAAACAATTATGAAAAAAAATTAAAAGAATGCAGAATGAAGTTAAATACTATACACTAAAAATTTCTAAAATAAAGAAAAAGTACTAACGCAAAACCAACTTATCAAGTACTCACACACTTAAGATCTGAACATCCTCGCTCAACATACCAAACAGAGTAGAATAAAAACATACGTCTAATTTCGAGTTCCTCAATATACGTCTCAAAGAATAAATACACTTTAGACCCCCCCCCCTACATTTTAAGACTTTGTGCCCATTCACTTAAGATTTTGAGGAAAAAGTGAGCTACAAACAATCCTACAAGATTGGAGAAGTAAGGGGATTTTGAGAAAAAGTGAGCTACAAACAATCCTACAAGCTCGGAGAACTAAGGCTTTGTTCGTTTTAGTTATAAAAATAGAGTTGGACATTGAAAATACTAGAAAAAATTGGAAGAAAATGGAGTGAGTTGAGAGAAACTCGAAATAGTTAGAAAAAACAAGAAGGAATTAGAAATTTTTGAAAAGAATAAAGTGTTAAAAATTTACTCAATTAAACAATTACCTTCATAAATATGTAAGAAAACTAATCTCGAATAAAAAGGAAATCATCTTTGTTTGCGTTTGAGGTGGGATGTTATAATTTGAATATATTATGTTATTGTATATTCATCATTTATAAATATTTTTTTACTCGTTGTTGGAAAAAACTACTCCTCCGTCTCTAAATATTTGCCACACTTGTATTCCTGAGGTAATATATCAAGTTTTTTCAATTCATTTTATTTACATATTGATATAGAAATAAAAAACAAAATTTACATATAAAAAACTACATGAAAAGTTCTTCGAAATAAGAGGTGTCAAGAATATTTTATTTTATCAAATAACCAATGAAAACGTAGAAATAAACAAAAATTCCCGCAACAGCTGAAAAAGCAAATGTTGTAAATATTTTAGGACGAAGGGAGTAGAAGTTAATTTTTACAACCCAAATGAATAGACACTAAGTTGTCGGTCTTTTAGGCTCTAAAAATGATACTCTCTTCGTCCCTAAATTGTAGATCTTTTTTATTGTAATTAGAGCACCGGAAATGGGTGCAACGCCCACCGGCGTTAAGGCGTGTTTAACGCCTGGGAGCGTTAAACACCGCCTCCTTCACCGTCATTCAGGCGTCAAATAGCTTGTGTTAAAGGTTTGACGCAGCCACGCTCCAACACCCCCCCCCCCAATGGCCTAAATTATGGTCATTGGGCATTTTTAGAAAAAAATTATTTTTTGAACTACAAATATCCCTTATTTTTTAAATAAAATACCCACGCAACATATCCTGATTCTCTCTCTAATTTCTTCAAATATATTCTATTTCTTTTAATTCTCTCTTCAAAATATTCAAAAAAAATGGGATTATCTTTACTTGGCGATGAAAAAAGATTTCTCATTTTTTGTTGTTTCGCGATGGGCTGTTATCAATGGTGGCAACAAAGCCAATGAGAAAAAGTGGAATCATCTCAAGGCTCAACCTGACGTAAGTGTTAAACCATGATCGGGCGGCTGCACACGAATCACTACTCAACGACTATTTCAATACTTCGTGTGTTTACACACCATAGGATTTTAGTAATCATTTTAGATGAGTCATTTCTTGTTTATACGCATACTTGTCAATATTGACCATGTAACACCCTAATCAATCCAGATCTCAAGCCCTTTTCAGACTAAAGTATTAACTTGGTAATCATAAAAATTTAAAACATTTCAAGCACTTTTATTTATCACAATAATATTTTTTCTTAACATAAACAGTACGAGGTTTTCAATCTTGTGGAAGCTTAACAAATCATAAACACAAAACATAATTTATTTATGTCATTCATTTCAAACCATCACATCCATCCCAACTATCTCACCTCCGTCAACCTTCAAGATCACGTCACATCATTCGTTCTATTTACATGTGTGTAGCAAATAAAACATACTACATGCTGAGCGTTAAAGCAGATAAAGAATATCTAATGTGTCGAACATCCATATAAATTGAACCTCAATTCATAACCAAATTATTTGATATCATGCACATAATGTTCAATTCAAATATTCATCATTCATGATTTTGATAATGTTTGGTTCATATCAATACATGTTATTCAATTCAGATATTCAATATTCATTATTTCGACAGTGCTCTTAAATTATTCTTAACATAAGGCCAATGATAACAACGTTCTTAGCTACTCTTTGTCTAAGGCTAGATAGTATCAACGCTCTTAGCTATTCTTAGTCTAAGGTCAAACCCATATTTTCATAATCAGACTCTTAAAGAGCAATTATTTACCAGACGCTTAACTACAATTAGTTTAAGGTAATTGGCAACCGGACGCTTAAACTATAATTAGTTTGAGACGATTGATTTCTTAACGCTTAAACTATAATTAGTTTAAGGCTATTTATTTTCTGACGCTTAAACTATAATTAGTTTAAGGCAATTGATTTCCTGACGCTTAAACTATAATTAGTTTAAGGCAATTGATTTCCTGCTTAAACTATAATTAGTTTAAGGCAATACATTTATTGACGCTTAAACTATAATTAGTTTAATGTAATTTATAACCTGACGCTTAACTATAGTCAATTAAGGCAACAACAGAATAACAACTAATCATCGTCAGATCGGGGTATTCCCAAACGAGTGATCCTTTAGTTTGGTCTATTGCACATGTTGGAAATGAAAGGGGCTGGCACGGTACAACATACAGAGTGATTAAGAATAAATCTATTTGTATCCAAAGATATACCTCGAAGGTTTATATTTACATTTTGTGTTAACATAAGTGTGAGATTGATTGTTTACTTCAATGTAAAATATTAGTATAAAACTTTATACTCATATTGATATTTTGTGTCAATGTAAAACTATAAGTCATTAAAGCGTACGTGTAAACTTCTAGAATATACTCCCTCCGTCCGGGAATGATGTTCCCGGTTTGACTTTTCCTCATTTTTAAGGAGGGTTGACAATGAAAAGTAAATGTCCAAAATACCCTTTTGCTAGCATTACTCCTGCCCTCATCAGGGCACTACCACCGCTCCAACCTACTTCTCCCATAAACTCCATCCACTCCAATCAATGCCGCCGACAACCCCCACTACTGCCGCCGACAACCCCCACAACTGCCGCCGGCCTTCTCAACTGCCGCCGCCCCCATCGCCTCAATCTCCAGCATAATTGCCAATCCCATTAGACCCACCCCAAAATTCAAGATCTAAAAAACTGAGTAATAAAGTGGAGAAGAAAAACATATGCCCCGTCGTCGCTAGCCCACTATCGCGGCCGGCTCTATGATCGCATCCATCGATTGTTGTAGATCTCGCAGATCTGGTAAACAATCAAACATGAGAAAGAATGGAAAGAAGAAAATGAAGAAGAAGAAAAGGAAGGAGCAGTTTTGGAGAAAAAAGGGGCCGAATGGGGAAAGAAAACTTCTTTAGACTAGGTTTCTTACTAAACTTCTAGATCTCTTTCTTTTCTTTCCGTTTTTTCCTATCCCCCCACTTCTGCTCCCTCTCCTCTCTCTTCATCTTCTCTCCACCTCTCTCTTACTCTCTCCCATCTTCTTCTTACCGTCTCTAGGCTCACTCTTTTCCTCTTCTTCTTTCTTTTATCTCATTAACCCACCCCTATTTTGGGTAGTTTATGTGTTAAAGAGTAGAATGGGAACATCATTTCCAGACGGAAAAAAACGTAGGAACATCATTTCCGGACGGATATGTTGGAGTATAATCTTTGGGATACAGCCTAATTATTAAGGTTGTGGGATAAATATCCCAACTGAAGAAGGATGTGTTTCGTTCATCACTTTACCTGATCTAATCTAATTTTTTTAAGTCCTGATTTGGTCTGATTTGATCTGATTGTATCTGATTTGATATGAATTTGATTGAATTTAAAATTAAGTTTTTATTATAATAGTTATAATAAATTTTATTAAGTTTTGAAAATAAAATATATTACAATACAAATCTAATAAAATTATTCTTGTATCACTATATAATCAAAATTTTATTTAATTAATGATCTAAATTTATAAATTTTTTGAAGTCGATCTAAATTTACAAATTTTGAAGACAAAAAAAAAACTCGACAAGTAGTTTAGGATAGAGGTAGTAATTAGCATGAAAATGAAGTGCAAGAATTTAATTCTAAATTAATTAGAACAAGACTTCATTCGTTCACGGTCAATGGTACCAAACTGTCAATCGGATTCACCGATTCCAGGAAAATTAACCAATGTTTTTTCAAGAATGATTTCAAAAAACGGAGCTCCCGTGTGACATGTATAGCTAGAGTTTAAAACTCTATGAAAAAAGTGAAATAAAATTTATTAACTAAAGACTAAGGTTCTATTCTAATTCAAACTGACACTACTACCCCTCTTTGTGGTATGGGCAGTGAACCTGTAAACCATGACATGATCATAAGTCTCCCCTGCATCAACAAACTGCGAAGGGAAATTTGGGTGATTTACAGAATCAGGAAAGCCCTGTGTCTCCAAGCACAACCCTGCATATTTTTGGTACACGAACCCGCCTTTCCCCTCCGTATCTTTCAACATATTGCTGGTGTAAAACTGAACCCCGGGCTTGTTCGTCCACAGCTCCATTTTCCTCCCTGATTTGGGCTCTTGAACCACAGCCACCTTGTGCAGGTGGCGGCGGCGGCGGCTTCCCTCAGTGGGATCCAACACGTAGTTAATGTCGTAGCCGCCGGGCAGCTGGGTCAGCTTGCTGCCGATTTCGTGGGGTTGGACGAAGTCATATGGGGTTCCTTTGACTGGCTGGATGGCGCCAGTGGGGACGAGGTCGTCCTTCACGGGGGTTATGTGGGACCCGAAGATCTGGATGGTGTGGGACAGAATGTGTCCGCTGTCATGGCCAGCAAGGTTCCAGTAGGAGTGTGAGGCTAAATTCACAGGGGTGGCCTTATTCAGAGCCTTGGCTTTCATTCTTATGCCTAGCCTGTTTTTGCCCAGTAGCATGTATGTGACATTCACATCCAAGTCACCTGGAAAGCCTGCATAAAACAAAACCAATAACTGACCTGTTAGCTTTAGCATTTTTAAAGTTTATCTGAGCCAACAACAACAGCAAACCCAGTAAATCCCACTAAAAGTAGGGTCTGGGGAGGGTGTGGATACGCAGACCCCAAGCTCAAGTTCAAGCACAGTTAACAAAAATCAAATCGTTATAAAATTATTAAGAACTGCGATGTGAATGATAAATATTGTTCCCAAAGAGATCCGTAACTTATGATTGGAGTAATGAAACCCGGTGGAAGTCTTGATGTCAGACCTGGTGGGTTTCTAGCAATTTTTTAATGAGGAAAAGAGATACCTTGGTCTCCGTCGGGACTCTTGTAAGAGAGGGAGAGGTGATGATCTTTGATGTACTCTTCCACAGTCCATATCACATCACTGAATCCTATGGCACCACCTGATTTAGGAGAAATCAAGGATTAGCCAAAGGATTCACCTTACGACTTTACGAGTTACTTCATCCATTCCTAATTAACCGACCTTTGGAATACATCAAAAGTTGAACGAATATAGACATGATGTATGCCAATGTTCATTCAACTTTTGATGTACCTCAATAGTCATAATGGTCAGTTAATTAGGAAAGGAGGAAGTGAGTGCTAGATGGACTCTAGGCGGTATGGGTGGTAGAATATATAGAAACTAGAGAATGAACGAAGAGGAGAGACCGTGGAGAGTGTTGCCATGATCATTCTGAGGCAATTTGTACTCAACTCCATTCAATGTGAATCTCGCTCCCCCGATCCTATTAGCAACGCGCCCAACCAGGCCACCGAAGTAAGTCGAATCATTCTGGAAACACATTTGAATGTGTGTTATTATGTCTACATACATACATACATACATACATACATACATACATCCTCTACTCCACACGGCGATCGATATGCAACTAGTTTCATTTTTACTAAAGCTTCCCATCTTATTCATTAGATAACCAATTGTCTTCTTCTGTTCATTAAGATTCCCCAGCTAGAATTAGAAATCTCGAACAAGTCTATGATTATATTGCGAAACATGAAATACCCACACCCTGAAATTCATTATAGACTATATATTTCCAATTTATAGTTTTAGGAGTAGGACGAAATGTTAAATCCAGAAGTTTCCCCATTAGATCAAACACGTATAGTGACACTAACCTTGTACCCATCAATGGAATCAAACCCGAGAAGCACGTCATCCAATTTTCCTGTCCAAACCCAGAAATGATAAGCCCAGATTCAGAGTAAAAAATAAGGGAATTTCAAAAAAAGTCGTCACAATTGTTAGTTTTTTTCGAAACAAATATGCATTAACACACAGACCATTTCGATCGGGCAAGACGAGAGAGAGGACAGTGGCACCATAGTTGGTGATGTTCATAGAGAAGTCACCATTTTTGAGCTCGTATATTCCCACCTTTTCACTGGCCCCGCAGAATTTACAGCATAGGAAAACGATTCCTGCAAAGAAACAGAATAAAGAAGGCTTCCCCATTATACTCCGTATGAAATACGTACTTCGTAAGTAAATACGAGTACTTAAAATGCAGAGATACTGTGAATCAGATGAGCGAGGGCAGATAAATACGCACGTCAGTATATTTATACATCCTTATCCTGTTGTTCGTTATTAGGATAAGTGCTTTTGGGAGATCCGAGATCTGAGTATTTGTATACCGGTTACTCCGGTTAGCTCCTTGAATTGGTTAGTCATCATCATGATTAGTCATCATCATGAGTATTGAGAGCATCTCTAATGAGAGGTAAAAAGAGATTTTTTATGTTACTAAAATCGGTAATTTACCTAAATAGGACTAAAACATAATGACTTTCTTAGTATAGAACCATATGTTTTTATTTCCCAATGTAAACGAATTATCATTATCCATTAGTTATTATTCAACTAAATGTCCAGCATCACTTGGACATTATCCTTTTCACTAGTTATTATTAAGTCATAGTTAGGGAATAAAAAAGTTTAAGTCCTACATTGGAAAATTACTTATATTTTAGTTCTATTCAGTGCAAATTTCACTATTAAAATATCAATTAAATACTCCCTCCGTCCAAGAATTTATTATTCCCCGTTTGACGTTTATTTATTTTTACGAATGGTTTCCTAAGGCCCTAAAATGACTAAAATATCATTATTTAAAAATATGGAAATGGAAAAGAAATGCTGGCCGAATTAATAACAAAATTATTGTTTGCAAAGATGGGGAGGGGGTATGGATTTGTTACATCTAATCAACCTTTACATTATTAGCAAACCATCCAAATAAAATTTCATAATTCCTCCTTTATTTTAACTACCTACCCAAAAAAGTTCTAAAAGCAATTCAAGTGGCTAAGTGCCCCCAGTCCTTTCCTTTTTTAACATGCAATTTCTTCATTCAGTTCTTCTCTTCTTCTTCTTCTTCTTCTTCTTCTTCTTCTTCTTCTTCTTCTTCTTCTTCTTCTTCTTCTTCTTCTTCTTCTAAATGGTGACTTGGCAGTGAGATTTCTTTATTTTCCTTTTACCTCTCTACTAAGTACTACCTGGAGCACTACACACATACAAAGTAATGAATAACGGTTAAGAGCCTTGCTTGAGTTTGCTACGGAGGGACTCTTGGAGGGGGGTGGCGTTCAGCTGGAGAGGATCTAGTGAAGCCAAGGGAAGAGACAGGGAAGAAACCCTTTAGGGTTTTAGAGAGAGAAGAGGTTTAAGGAGAGGAGAATTATTATTATTGCTTGATAGTAATAGGGTTTAGCATGCCCTATTTATATAAATTCTCCGAGCCTAATTATCTAGTTGTCTATCCTGTCGGTTCAAGGAAAAGCGACGAGGTAAAGAACCAAAAAGAAACCCTCGAAGGAGCATTATAATTATGCTCCCCTAATAAACTCTAAGATACAATAATAAATAAGAATTATAAATTCAAACATAATCGTTGTAACGTCGGGGCAGCCCGACCTTCCTGCGTGGACGTCCCGAAGCTGCATTGTCTCCCACCTGAGGCCCAATTGTGTCCGTATCAACTCCCCCGGGGTTAGGCACAACCTTGTCCTCAAGGCGTAAGTCGGGAAAGTGGTCACGAAGAGTGGTGACTGGTTCCCACGTCATATGATCATCCAGGCCGTCAGACCACCGGACAAGCCATTGCTCCTGCGATTCGCCCTCCACCAACACCACACGGCTATCCACAGCTGCTACTGGCCATGACAAGGGTCTGCCTTTGAAGAAATCTGGCGGAAGGAAGCAGTCATTGACTTAAAGGTTCTTGCAAACACTCCCTTCCAAATGAGGACTAATGTAAGAGCATTAACAACTACCATTGGCAAGCATAAGTCAAATGTGCATGAGTGGATAAAAAGAGGTATGCTTAGGAGCCATTCTAATCCATTTTTAGCATGCAAGATTACGGCTAACTACTAATCCATTTTTCAAATGTGCATTAGTGGATAAAATTGGTTTTTAGCCTAAGTCAAATGTGCATGAGTGGATAAAATTGGGTTTTTTCAAAAAAGTACAAAAAAGAATAAAAAAACCAAACCAAACCCGACTTATTAGGTACATCTCGTGAAAATATGACCAATGATATGAAGTTTGTTAAGTTTGCACTTTTGTGCAAAAAATTATGTGCAAAATAGATGTTAGAGTAGAATAAATTGGTATAGTGATTTTATACTCCCTCCGTCCCCATGTATTTGTCCACTTTCATTTTTGCACACCATCCAATGCACTTCTTTAATCCATTTATCTTGTAATTCGTATATCAAAAAATTATAAAAATTATATATTAATAATCTATATGTTAAAACAAATCAAACAAGATCACACATGACTATATTTAGGCTTACACATTAAGAGAATTTGATGAGTCAAAGTGCTTAGATGAACAGTTCCAAAAGTCAAATATGGACAAATACAGGGGGACGGAGGGAGTATTAATTATAAAATAACAAAACTAATAATAATTTTCTTAAAACTTGATCCTAACTCTACCGAGCATAGGAAACCTAAACCTACCCGTCCCCACCCTGTTTTTATATATAACCCATATACAAACCAGAAGAAAAAGAGCAGAGCTGCGGAAAAAGAGACGACACTGTTGATCAATTCCTAAACATAAAATATAAATTAGGGATTTAATCATGTGTACCTGATAATCCTGTAAACGTAGTTAGGGATGAGGCCATGATTCTCATGCAGATCGAGTTCCCGTTTAGGGTGTATCGTTATGATGGCTAAGGTGAGGATGACTCACGAGAATAGAGAGGCATATAGGAGGCGTAAGGTTGGTGTGTTGTGATCTCTACCTAATGACCTCTATATATATACACCCAAGGGGAAACCCTAATTAGGTCATAAGAGTAATTACGTCCATCGAATAATTACCAATTAAATACGTAGGGTATTTATTAGTTCAATGATCAAATAATTAGATAAATGATAACTCAGTCCACTTAATAAAATCGTGTCCAACATTCTCCCACTTGGCCGAGTAATCATTTATGATGAGTATTAGATAAGTCTGATCAGATTTTAATACTCATTTTAGTTCTAAACCGAAAGTGTAGCAGAGAAATACAGTCATTGAATCGATATTCAATTCAAGACCCCCATTAATCATACTACAATACCAAATTTAAAACTTAAATAAGCTAAGGATCAAATTGACAATGAAGCCCATAACATTATTTTGTATACAAATGTTGTCTATATGTCTTTAGGCATGCATAGACACATTCAGAGACAAAACAAACAAAAACAATGAGGAAATTTTATTATTAAATGTAAGCAAGTACAATATGCAACTAAATAAGGTCTTTAGATAACCCCATCTTCGAAACATGTTCTTCGAAAATCTTAGGAGGGAGACCTTTAGTCATCAGATCCGCAAGCATATTCTTAGTACTTATATGCTCAATACAAAGTTTATTTTCCTCAACTCGCTCACGTGCGAACAAGTATTTTGTATCAAGATATAAAGCAGCACCAGTCGAACTGTCGAACTGTTACTGTTCGAGAAACTAATGGCGGCTGAGTTATCACAATAAAGCTTCAATGGTCGAGAGATAGAATTAACTACTTTGAGTCCAGTGATGAGGTTTCTAAGCAACATCCCATGACAGGTTGCGTTGTACACCGCAATGTATTCTGCCATCATTGTAGAAGTTGCAGTCAACTCTTGCTTATGACTCTTCCACGAGATAGGTCTGCCAGCTAACATAAAGATATACCCTAAAGTGGATTTCTTGTCATCTTTGCATTTAGAAAAATCAGAATCAGAATAACCAACCACTTCTAAATTATCACTCCTTCTGTAAGTCAGTTTATAGTCTTTTGTCCCTTGTAGATATCGAAGAACTTTCTTAGCTGCTTTCCAGTGATCAAGACCAAGATTGGTCTGATAACGACCTAACATTCCAGCAATGTAAGCGATATCTGGACGAGTACAGACTTGTGCATACATAAGGCTTCCTACTACTGACGCATAAGGTATCATTCTCATCTGTTCTTTTTCAACCTCTGTTTTCGGACATTGAAATAAACCGAAAACATCTCCCTTAACTAGTGGAGCCACAGAAGGAGAGCAATGTTGCATGTTATAACGTGTAAGGACACACTCAATGTAAGCCTTTTGAGATAATCCCAAAATACCATTGACTCTATCTCGGTGTATTTCGATGCCAATAACATAAGAAGCCTCTCCGAGATCTTTAATGTCAAAATTACGCGAGAGTAAGCGCTTGGACTCATGCAACATGTCTAAACTATTACTTGCCAATAGAATGTCATCTACGTAAAGGACAAGTATAGTGAAGTTGCTCCCACTCATNGTGCATTGATCCACTTGATTCTTTATGAAACCTTCTGACTTCAAGACTTGATGCAACTTTAGGTACCATTGACGTGATGCCTGCTTCAACCCGTATATGGATTTCTTTAGCTTACAGACTAGGTGCTCTTGACCTTCAGATTTGAATCCTTCGGGTTGTTTCATGAACACTTCTTCATCCAAATCGCCATTAAGGAAAGCAGTTTTGACATCCATCTGATGTAGCTCTAAGTCAAAGTGAGCTACAAGGGCCATAACGATCCTTAAGGAATCCTTTCGAGAGACAGGAGAAAAGGTCTCTTGATAGTCAATTCCCTCTTTCTGAGTGTAGCCCTTTGCAACCAATCTCGCTTTGTAGCGTTTAATGTTTCCATTCGGGTCCAGTTTTGTTTTGAAGACCCATTTACATCTTACGGGTTTTACACCGTTGGGTAATTCAACCAATTCCCAAACATCATTTTTCTTCATGGAGTCAAGCTCTTCAATCATGGCTTTATTCCATTCAGAAGACTGATCACTGTTAATGGCTTCATTATAAGAGGTAGGATCAGTAAACTTTCCAGCATCCATTTCTGCTTCAGTCAGGTAGGTAACATAATCATCAAAGTTAGTAGGCCTTTTAGACCTAGATGACCTCGTGAGCAAATTTTCGGGTTGAGCATTGGCGGCATTGTCTTGATGGTGATCATTTGAGGCATCTTCATTTCTAGGTACATTGGGAGTAGAATGTGGTGCAGTGTCCTGCGGATTGGCATTGAGTACAAGAGGAGTAATTGGAGGTAAAGTAATCGACAAGTCTCTCCCCCCCGCGTCTTGTACTTCTAGCAATTCATCATAAGGGTTTTCACTGCTCCCACTGACCTTAAAATCTTCAAGGAAATGAGCATCTTTGGTTTCTACAATGCGAGTGACGTGGAAAGGAAAATAAAATCTGTAACCCTTTGAGTGAGAAGGATAACCAATGAAGTAGCAAGTTACAGTTTTCATGTCGAGTTTCTTCAAGAAGGGATTATAAAGTTTAGCTTCGGCAAGACAACCCCATACTTTCATATATCTTAGGCTCGATTTCTTTCCTATCCAGAGTTCATAAGGAGTTTTAGGGACAGCTTTAGAAGGAACCCTATTGAGTATATGAACGGCTGTTTTTAAGGCCTCAGTCCAGAGAAATAGAGGTAAACCTGAGTTGGCTAACATACTGCGTACCATGTCCATTAGGGTCTTATTTCTTCTCTCAGCAACACCATTCTGCTGAGGAGTACCAGGCATAGTATATTGGTTCACGATCCACTGGCCCTTACAAAACTCATAAAATGGACCAGGAGCTTGACCCACATCAGTATGTCTACCATAATATTCACCTCCTCTATCTGATCTTACAACTTTTATCTGACGATCAAGTTGTTTTTCAACTTTAGTTTTATAATCTTTAAAAGTTATAAGTGATTCAGATTTTTCCTTAATAAGATACAAGTACATATATCGAGAATAATCATCAATATAAGTGATAAATGAGTTATGTCCAGTTATGCCAGTGATAGAGTAAGGACCACTAATGTCAGTGTGAATGAGCTCTAATAAATTAGAACTCCTAGTGGCACCTTTTTTATTCACTGATGTCATTTTACCTTTAAGGCATTTGACACATGTTCCAAAATCATTGAAATCGAGAGATGGTAACACTTCATGCTTCACGAGTCTAGACAAACGTTCTCGTGAAATGTGGCCTAAGCGTTGATGCCACAACATGGATGAAGCTTCTAAGTCTCGTTTTCGTTTTCTCTTTGTTATTGTCTGATTGATATTATATGACAACAAAGATTTGGAAAAATCATCATCTAGTTCTAATTTATAGAGACCACCATCCAGAAAACCATGACCAGACACTTGAGAATTGAAACTAATAGTAAGTCTATCATGACCATGAGAAACATCAAAACCGTCTATGTCTAACTTTGATCCTGATACTAAATTCCGAGTAATCTCAGGAATATATAAGGTATCATAAAGTTTAATACATAAACCAGTTTTCATTATTAATTCTAAGGTTCCCACGGCTTCGACAGCTAGTTCTATTCCATTCCCCAGCTTAAGTGTTCTTCGGTTTCTTTCCAGCTTCTCGATTGTAAGGAATCCCTGAAGTGAGTTGGTTACATGAACCATAGAACCAGAGTCAAACCACCATGTATTAGTTGGAACATTTAAATTAAAGGACTCAAGTATCATGTAAAGATGATTACCTTTCTTCGTCAGCCACTCCTTAAAATCTTGGCAGTCTTTCTGTCTATGTCCCTCCTTGCGGCAGAACTTGCAGCAAGACTTCCCTTTGGAGTTCTTAGAGCTGGAAGAAGCATTTGCATCACGTTTCTGGACTTTAGAAACTTCCTTCTTATCGACATTTCCCTTCCTCTTCTTTGGATTAGTGGTCATGAGGTAAGCCACATCAGGTTTGTCCAGCTTCAGACGCTCTTCTTCTTGTACACACATAACAATCAACTCATTCATCGACCACTTGACCTTCTGGGTGTTGTAGTTGACCTTGAAAGCTTCAAAAGATGCAGGAAGAGAAGTCATTATGAAGTGCACCAGAAAACCTTCACTGATCTCCATGTATAATCCCTTAAGCTTACGGGCCATGTCGTTCATCATCATGATGTGCTCACGAATGCCGTTATTCCCGTCATATTTCGTAGTCACCATATTCAAAATAAGAGTACTAGCATGTGCCTTAGAAGTTGCTTTGAATTGTTCCTCCACAGAAGCCAGATATGTTTTAGCATTAGATGAATCTGGAATAGCTCCCTTGATGATTACGCTGATGGAATTTTTAATGAGCATAAGAGCCATTCTGTTGCACCTCTCCCATCTCTCATGTACTATTTTATCTTCAGTAGTACTTTTATCAGTGAGTGCAGGAGGGGCAGGCTCTCTCAGTGCATAATCAAAATCCAACATGCCAAGAGTTAGCATCAGTGAATCTTTCCATGAAGAAAAATTCGCACCGTTCAAGGTCTCAATTCCCATATTTGGGGCTGATAGTGGATTCATATGAGAGAAATAAGACACAAAATTAAAGAAGAAGTTAAGGGGTAATGAACTAAGGCTGGCGAAGTTAAGGACCATTATATAGTAATGAAGCTATGATAAGAGTCTATTATAACACCAAAATAATAGACTAAATTTAATTCTACTTAAACAAATGGCTTTCACTTTGGTTATGACCACTTATTTAAGTATTATGAATAATAAAATGATCATGTGCAATTTAAATGTTACACATCACCTTTGGGCAGAAGTGAAACATTTAAATTTTAATGCACATATATATTTAGTTCGCAGTACACAATTATAACACATCATCTTTGGACAGAAGTGAAATATTATGTATTTAAGGCGAGTGTCATGCAAATATCTATTTAAGGATATTCACTAAATGACAATGCTTAATAAGACTTGAAATAAATTTTACAAATGTTACACATCACCTTTGGGCAGAAGTGTACTATAAGGTATTATTCAAGTCAAGCAAAATAAATCAATTTAACTAATCATAAAATAAATTTTATTTAAGATTAGTCAAATGATTTATAAATTTAATGTTAATAATTAATTAACCGCAAAAGTTATAGCGGTTCGGGGCTGGGCTACAAAATTGGGGACCCATTAAGATTAATTTAATTAGAAAATCAAAAGGCATATAAGGCAAGTGATTTTCCAACAAGTAAAAAAAATTTAACTTTTTAATGGTATTTTAGCGTATCCCTTATTTAGTTTTGCTATTCTTGGTAAAATAAGTCAATAAAATAAGGAAACAGAATATATCATGCAAAAGTGAGATATGCTATACAATTTAAGGAAACACAATTATATTCCAAATCAAATACCAAAATAAGATGATTTCATCAAAATAAGGATGAACACATGAATAATTTATTTAGATTCATAGTTACTGGAATCAAAACACAAAATAATATTTTTTTTGAACGTATGGATTACAAATTTAAACACCAAGAAGAATCAGACCACTATCGGATTTGCAAGAAAATTAGGTGGAAGTCCACAGAAAATTTACCAAATTGAAGCTTAATCATAATCGGAATTTGGAAACATAAGCCAATTACTTTTTAAGAGTCAATTTAGGAAAATTGAATGCTTTTAATGTGGAAACAAGATCTACCCTCATCAATCACAGTTTTGTTAGGTTTAGGGAAAAGAAAAGAAAACTTTCTGATTCAATTTTTGATAAAAAAAAAACCGATTTTGATTTTAATTCCAGGGAAGCGAAAAAGAGAGAATTGATTAATCAACATAAAGCTCCGATACCACATGTTGATCAATTCTTAAACATAAAATATAAATTAGGGATTTAATCATGTGTACCTGATAATCCTGTAAACGTAGTTAGGGATGAGGACATGATTCTCACGCAGATCGAGTTCCCGTTTAGAGTGTATCGTTATGATGGCTAAGGTGAGGATGACTCACGAGAATAGAGAGGCAAAGAGAGGAGGCTTAAGATTGGTGTGTTGTGATCTCTGCCTTATGACCTCTATATATATACACCCAAGGGGAAACCCTAATTAGGTCATAAGGGTAATTACGTCCATCGAATAATTACCAATTAAATACGTAGGGTATTTATTAGGTCAATGATCAAATAATTAGATAAATGATAACTCAGGCCACATAATAAAATCGTGTCCAACAGACACAGCAAAGTCGCGGGAAAACTTGGAGACACCGCTGCCGCTACTCTGCCCCCTGCTCGCCAGAAAATAGTCTCGCTGTCACCGATTGATTGCCACTGCTCCACCGTCCACTGCCTCCATCTTTTTTGTTGTTTGATTTTTTGAGTTATTATATTCGTCTAACGATCGAGGTGAGCTCTTGGGTTTGTTCAGCCTTAGAATTAATAGATAGCGTTAATTTGTATACATAGTCAATCAGAAATTTGGTTATGTGAAATACTTGTTTGTGAGTTGTGATTGTTGATTATGATTTATTAAAATTGATTGGCTGATGAGTGAAGGACTATGTACATTTCAGTACTTGTATTGTTGTTTTTTAACCATGAATTTTAAATATTTGTTATTGTTGAATCTAAGAACCCAAACCTGAGTCGCGTTGTTTCTCTGTTTACGGCCCAACGGTAGTTAACTACCATCTCAGGCATAATTCCGAAGCTTCAGCATAATTTGTACTGTGGCGAGGTACCGTTAGGCGGTACTAAGAATCTTGCCTTTTGGGACTCGCACTTTATATTTGCCACTATACATCTAGAATCTTGCCTTTTACTCTACCCCGTTAGTGGCTCGCGTGTTTGCTCGTGTGTGGATTATGAGACCCGGCAATCTAGTCTTTAGTTCTTCATGAGAGATCGTTTGCATGCAGTATTTGGACCTTGAAATTGGTGGTTTGTGCATAGACTAAGACATTCAACAATTGCACGCCTTCATTATGCATTTAAAGGTTGGCACGCAACTTGGTATTGACGGATCGTGCATGGGTAAAAAAAATTGGTATTTGAGATTCTTACTCGATCTACTTCTCCATGTTCAGAGGCCTCATATTTTGATCTTTTACTATATCAGTTACACGTGTTACATGGTAGTTGACACTCTACACTCATCTTCAATGAGAGTGATTTTCAGCTCCAGGCCGGCATCATATATTGCCCCACTTTTGGATTCAGATCTCACACTTTTGGGCTCACAGTTTTGGTAATTTTGTTTGGTATAGCTATTTTAGTACCATAGTTCGTTTTTACCTGTTTTTATTACATGTTTATCCTTTTTGCTCTTTTATGTGACTCTGTATTCTTAAGGGTCAGGATTGCATCAAAATTAGGTACACCAAAATGGTTTTAAAATGCATCATGTTGAAATGCACCATAATCTTTTAAAAATGCACTATCTCAAAAATTGAGTGCAGGATGCAATCTGAGCCGCACGATGCATCAAATCCAAAGGCTAGATTTTATTCTTATTTCTTTCACCAAGGTGCATTCTCACTTGAACTGGCCCCTATATATATATATACATACATACATACATACATACATACATACATATATATATATATATATATATATATATATATATAATGTTCATCAGGTAAATAATGAACAACAACCACAAATTACCCCATTGCCTCAAAGGCTAACGCCCATTTAGGGTTAGGGAGGTGGGATCTACGTAGCCTGACTCATATGTTTAAGACAGAGAAAATAATTTTCATGATGACCAATGATAAAAGTCGAAAGGTACATTGATTAATTGTTACTCATTTAGGCATGACCAATGAAGTACAAATAATTTGAATTAAAGAGTCATTTTATTTTCTTCCATTATATCCCGAAGCCAAAACTAGTAAATCTTTAGTTTCATTTCAACAGTAAGCATGCAACTTAAATTTTGGCAGGACTCAAAACTTCTAACTCTTACCAAGGATATGACTTTAGATAAGAACGTTAGGAGATCTAGGATTATGGTTGTTGGTTAGATGTTTAGACCAGAGTGGTAGTTTAGTTCTTGTCTCTGTGTGTTTGGTTAGTGTGGGGTCCTTCTTGTTACTTATGAGTGTATACCTTTTGTCTTTTTGTGCTCTACTTACCCTTTATTTGTTCTTTATTCCTTTGTTGTACTATGAGTTCTTTTTGTGTTGCTTGAGCTAAGGATTTCTTTGAAAAAGGCTCTCTACTCTTAGTAAGCGTAAGGTCTGCATACACGCATGCATACACGCATCCACCCCAGATCATGTTGTTGCGGGATTCAACTCGTTGTTGTTGTTGTTCTACATTCCATTACTATGTGTTGCAGTGTTGCCGAGGAATGGCAATCTTTGTTGCCATGCATTGTCCATGACATAACTCCTCTATTTTCACCTGTTGGTATACTAACCTCTCAAACTAAAAATAATATTACTAAATTGCAATAATGTTGGTTCTCCAACCGTTTGAGTTATGCACGGGTAGTCCAACTGCAAAAATTATATAAATAGTTCTTCATGTCACAATTAGCGTTGCAAACAGAATGTTTTCAATAGTCAATTTTTAAATTGAATTGAAAATAACATGAGTCAAACATCGTAGATCGTATTATTGTGCCTAGAAAAGAAAAATATCTAAACAAACAAAATGTATTCGTGAAGGGAATACCTCTTTTTTAACCTATTGTCATTGTGCCTAAAATAATGAAATTGTCTCGATTGTTTTATAATCCACCTATCCACTAATTAAGATGCCCAATAAACTCGGATCCAATCTGTTTAATGATATTTAATTCTCAGCAGTTTAGATTCAACCACACACTGTTAAAAAATCATGTGTGTAACACTAAATATCACTTGAATGACTATTTATGAAGTTTTTTGAGTTGAAATCATTGAGCTGAAGAACCAACGGTGCTATATAGCCAAAAAATGCAGGGGGTTTAATGTTTAACTCAAGTTTCGTTAAAAATTAAGCAGGAGGACCACGAATGAAACACTTACTGTAACTTGAAGAACTATTTATGTAAATTTTGAAGTTAAAAGACTAACCGTGCATAACTCATTAGTTTGAAAGACCAACAGTACAAATTAGCCAAATAATATGCTATCCCTCCCAAGTAAGTTACATGTTCATTATTTACGGAGTACATAATTAAATTTTAACAACATTCTTTACAAAATTTATTTACTTATTTGAAAAAATAATAGTTGTGTCGCCTCTTATACTGGTAAAGATTTTGATGTAATTTTTTAAATATATAAATTTATTTTTTAATTTACATTAATTTTCAAATAAATTGAATTGAACATAACTGAATCGAATAATCATAAATAACAACGAGCAACTGAAAAATGGTACAGAAAGGATATAAAAAACAAGTGAGGTACAATTAATGTATATGGAGTAACATAATTCGTCATTTTTTTAGGACAAAGGAAGTGAGGTAATAGTGTAATACAATTTACTTAGCATAAACATAATAAAAATATTTTGTATTTTAACCAACAAAGATATAAGATTCATTCAATATTGGGAACTTGCTCCATTTTATTAGCGTGTATTTTATCCTTCCATAGAGGTGCAAATAGAAACAGTACAATCTTAACTAGCACAACACCCAGGCCACTGTGATTCACATTGCATGATTTGCTATACATACATCACATAAGTATATAGTACCAAATGCATCAAATATATCAAATGTGAGCAATTTTGCGTGAGTCGGGTTCATATGAGCCTTCAGGCATAATAACGTGACGTACCATCTAGAAAGGTACAAACGTTTAAAGCATAGAATATTAGAACCATGTGAACCCGGCTCATTCATGAACTCTTCTTCCCAACCAAGATATGCCAAGTGACATATAGAGTGGTGTGTTGCTGTGGTGGAAGACATATCATGAGAGGCTAATGGATGACTGAGCCCCTCTTGCAACCTTTATAAACACATCCTCTAAGGTTGTATCTGCTAGGCCCCATGCATGAACACTAAATCTTCTCTTTGCATTCTGGACGGCTTGGAAGACATCTGCGATGCTTATCTCATGCTTTGGCAGCTCAAACTTTTGTGTGCCCGAAATATGATAAATCTTGCACGCATTTGGGGAGAGATTGAGCACCATGCTCTCCACCTCTGCATCGTGATCTGAAGATGTTGTCATGGTGAGTACATACGAGCCACCATACCTTGCCTTCAACTGTTAATGACACAAACAAAATAAAATAACACAAAGCAGTGTTCTCAGGCAAATTATATACATGCAAACAATAGAATAATGAATCTCAGGAAGTATGCAATCCTGAAAAATAAATGGCTAGTGCAGTTCTGCTCGTTTTCTAGCTAAATGTTAAGGTATCTTTTAGATAGGGGAACTTTAGTTTAAAATCAAGGGAAACATTGAAGACTTTTAATCTTCAATATTTTGGGGAAAATGTGAAAAACTAGAGGATGGAATGTTTAAAAGATGCATGTTTATTTCTGTAATTTCAATTACGAGGTAAAAAATAAAAGTTAAAATCTTCTCTATTTCCCCCAATTTTTAACAAAATGAAGCCTTATAAATAGGGACCAATCACCACCAAAGCCACCTCTAGACGACTTATTTTCCTTCTTATACCACATTCATGGAGAAGAGTGTTCGTCGTCAATAAATAAGGCTCTTACCTAGCTCCAATGAGGATGACTTGGACAAATGGTGTAATCCTGACTTGGATGAAGTTTAGCTTTTTAAGGGACAGATGGTATCATCCAGGCATGGACAAAGTTTAGCTATGTAAGTAAACATGTTCCATAAGTTAAGCCTCACCTGATGCTAACCTAGTTTGTCACGGTAATTTTGTGCTAATGTACAATGGGACATGTTTTTATTCTTGGGGTTAGAGAATGATTTTCTTGGTCAGTATTTTGAAAATGGCAGCAGACAAATAGATACAAAAAAATGGTAAACATCTCAACCCAGGGCAACTAATAAAGAATCAAAGATAATGGAGAACAGAAACTCTGCCCTCATATGTCTCCACCATTTACATTCAAATATTGAAAATGCAATTGAAGCACCAATTTACCTCCTTGGGATTTCCTAGGCATTGCAAGCTTCCATCCACAAAGATACCTAACCTGTCACATAAATGCTCTGCCTCTTCCATTGAGTGCGCTAAAAAAGATCATTTAATTAAAAGATAAAAAGTAAGCATGTGGTGTTTGAAATTGTTAGGCAGTATGCAATGTGTATTAAAGGTGCACTGCATCAAGGATCTTTCATGCCAAGCAGTTGCCTGTACTAGATTGGTTGTGGGAGATGGAAGGCAAATAATGGTTGATATGGACAATAATATTACTTGTTAAAATTATTGCTCTATCTTGTTTTGCACGTTTGACCACATTCCACAAACTGTTCCTTGAAGCAGGATCCAGTCCAGTACTAGGCTCATCCATATACACAACCTTGCAAAATGCATTGTAGCTCAGAAATAATAGTCATGATAAAGGCACATGTTCATAACTTCATATAACCAAATAATCTTATCAAATGAAGGCTGCTTGCAGAAATTCACAAGGAATTACTTTGGGATCTCCAATCAATGAAATGGCAACACTAAGCCTCCTCTTCATTCCTCCACTATATTTTCCAGCTTGCTTGTCTGCAACTCCTCCGTGATATAAATTTACACTTTGAAGAGACTCCTCAACCGCCTGCAGATCTCACAGAATTCAAGTGAATGCAATATGAAACAATGTGATGCCAATTGAAATGGGAATTTTAGAAGCATTCTGATCTCAAAATAGGCAGTTCCCCAAAATCAAAGAGTGACTATAAGTTCTTGATAACTAAGGAAAAGTAAACATTATAATCAGCTTAAGAAAACAAGATAAACTGAGTGGAAGTTGGAAGATGGGAAGATGAGGAGGTTGTGGTGGACTTAGTCGTACCATGTTAGACAGAATATCACATGTAGTCTTCCAAACAGAGCAAGGAGTCACATTAATTACTAACAAAGAGAGCGCAAACTGCATTTGTATGGCCACGTCCATCGCACAGTTGCGACACTACCAATGATAGAGATGGGTTTAGTTGAGGGAGAAGAGGCAGGCCACGAAAGACATAAGATAAGCAGTGCATATCCAGTTATCCTAAGGAGGTGTGATGCTAAACATGAGGGTCTTAAATAACACATGAACTCTAATAGTGATGCCAGAATAGGGCTGTATATTCTTTGTAGAATTTGAGTGCAAGCGTTGTTGAAGGGTGGGGGTGTCTATTTGGATGATTCTTATATGTGTATTGGGTGGATGTTAGTGAGTACATTATTTTCACATTTCACTAAAAACCCTCATAACTACTCTTTTTATTACTTTCATATTTTTTTCATTTATCACACGACCTTTGATTGCTTGTTGTCGGGAATGTTCAAGGAAACCATTTTTCTACTCCTTGTGGAAGATGTATGGCTTGCAGACACCTCCCCCCAATACCCAAAGATGATACTCCCTCGGTCCCAAATAAACTTGCCATATTCCTATTTTGGTCGTCTAAAATAAACTTCCCATTCCATTCGAGGAAAGCATTGAATGGTTCACATCATTTCTTGCTCCTCTCCATATATCTCAACCACACAATTTTCCATTTTCTTAAACTCCGTGAAAAATCAAATGGAAGTTTTATTTGGGACAAAGGGAGTATATGAGTAAAAAAAATCTTCTTTTTCTAATTAAATTAGAACTTCAAAAAAATTCACACTTTTCTTATTTTAAAGAAAAGAATGTGTGGCTAATTCTAATACAAATTCTATTTATACAATTTTTCACTTTATAACACTTTTTAAATCCATGAAGTCAAATCACGAACTTTATTTTAGGGAGGGAGAAATAGATAATCTAACTAGATATATGGTAAGTGATTATGGCATAAGCTCATGGTTTTGAGAAAATGAAATCTTTGATTAATATATGAGTTGTGCTAGGGTAACCCCACAATTTTGACACCACGATTGACTCCATACTTTGCATAGACATGCACAGATCAATACATCACTTTACCTTTTGAAAAATCATTTAGCATCATTTAAACATTCTTTATTCATTAGAGGAACCTATGAATTTTAATCAAGATTCAAGAATATGCATGTATATTGTCATGGCATAAATCAATATATGCATTCAGTGAATCAAACAAACATATTTGTATATAAATATATTAACAATTTCTCCGTTATAACTAAGTCTTGTCTAATCACCTTCTCCTCCCAGCTCTTCGTAGGTCTACCTCTACCCTTACTCATGCCCACTACTCCACAAGGTATATGCATTTGCTCTAACTTGTGTGAAGATGAAAAAAAACTAAACAATCCAATTTTTTGCTTATCATCTATGCACTTTGAGAAGTGAAGCAATGGATAAACTCTTCAATTTCAACATGGTATCATAGAAAAACCATAGCAGTGATCACATTGTTCACTAGTTTTTAGAGCTAAGTGTATATGTTTTCAGGCGACAACTTAAGGGTTCCGTGGTTCACATCATATTTATAGGTCTTGCCGATCTAGCACCACTCTTTCTGACCATGAGAATTTATGCATCACCCTCTCTCTTCCACATGCCTTCATAAGCCAACACGTGGGCCCCTATCCAGCACAACATTACAAAGTCTTCCCCTCTCTAGGAGATCTATAAGAGGGTCGCAGATATCCTCACATAACCTTTACAAAGTCCAAAGGCAAGTCTACAAATATAACATGCTTGGTGGTAATGAAAAGTTTGCTCCAGCTTGAGGGGGGTGTTGACATGTTTTGGATATTTGTAGCAGATTTGTCTTAACAACATGTAAAGCCAACATAGGACTAGCATATGCCTTTTGTTTCTCAAACAATGCTGAAATGCTTAAAGAACATTTGGCTGTGTTGTTCAATGTATTTGTTATTTTAAACTGTTAACCGTTGGATTTTTTAAGTAAACATCAGCCCTTGATAAATAAGACAGAAGCTGTTGTGTACTTGTGTTCAGTGAAATTTTGGTTGTGTTAGTCACCCTGAGTAAAATTGTCAGGCTCAGTGAAATTGTCTAGGCCGAATTAGTCATAGTGTTTGTGTTGTTTAGAGCTATACAACATAATTTCCAATGTTATGGCCTAGCTTACAAGAATACTTATTTAAGAGACTTCAAGAAGACTATTTTCAAGCAATGGATTCACATACCCTTTTCAAGTTGGCCCCTTTCAGATTTTTTAGCCGTCCATAGAACAGTAAGTGTTCCCTTCCTGTTAATGTTTCCCAAAGTAGGCTGAAAACAGATTGCAAAAATGACAAAGACCATGGTCAACAAGTGTATATACATTTCATTCTCCCTGATTCCTGTTGCAACCCTCATTTGGATTGGTTCTGGACTTCTGAGAATTCATTTATTCCGGGGATGGGGTGTAATGTCCACATTTGCATTCAAGAAAACTCTTGAATTAAGGAATTTATAGAGATTTTCTGATTTTACAAATCGGGGACATACCATGCCAATAAAAAATTATGGGGTTTGAATTATTCGTGAAAAATGGGGGAACTCGTGCCATTTCAAATGGGATTTTATCTAATCATGTGTAACCAATTTTCATTAAATCAATGTTGACCACCAAATCAATCTAAATGAGGCCAAATATCTACTTTACTTGAGAGAGCAATGATGTTTTACTCATGCTGAGGACATACTCCCATGCTGGTATATATTCTGTCCATATCAGTTTGTATATTCATGCCCTGAACATATGCAGTCCCAGAGCTCGGCTTTACCAGACCAATCATCTGTTAGCATGCACTAGTCAGAGAAAATCAGCTTGCTTAAAGTTGGCATTACGACAAAGAAACTGTTGTCAGATGTACCCAAGAAGACTGATGAGAGGAAGATTCATTTAAAACTATTAAAAATAACATCATGAAGACATGAAGTGAAAAACAAGCAAACAATCATTTATGGATCATCTTCCCATAAATAGTCCCTCCATCCCAAAAAAAGGTTCATGTTGTCCTTTTTTATCCATCCCAAAATAAGGTGCTTGATTCTTTTTAAAAAATCTAAAGTGCACAATTTCACTTTTCTCAATAAGCCTGTCAAGTCAAACCCAAAACCTTTTTTGGGATGGAGGGAGTAAAAGATTTTCTTTTTTGAAAGCCAATACCAATAAACTGACCATATTTATAAAAGAAGTTTTCCCAGCACCATTGGGCCCAAGCATACCAAAGCATTCCCCCTGAGGCAAAGCAAGTGACAATCCTTTCACTGCAATTTTTTCAGGGTTTCCATCTCTTCCTGGATAAGTTTTTTTTATGTTGTCACATATTAAAGCATGACTTGTACTTGATTCAAGAAGCAAATGCTCAACTCTCTCCCTCTGTCAAAAGGTTATTACTGATGTTAATTAGTTGGTATAAATTAGGAGTGAGCACATATGACACTAAGCGGATAAGGGGTAAATCCAAAACCCGATTTATGAAATATGATTGAGAAAGTCCCATTTTGTGATCCAATCAGTGGATATTGATTGGATTGCTGTATCCATGGATCCAATTCATGAAAACATCAAAATCAAAATTAAAACCTAAATCCAGCCATTACATAAAATGAAAGTATTTTTTCCATTTATGAAATTGCAATCAACAACAAACCCAGTGAAATCCCACAAGTGGGGTCCAGAGAGGGTAGGATGGACGCCAACGGCCAACCTTACCACTACCAGTGAAGGATGGAGAGCCTGCTTCTAAAACACGGCTCGAAGGAATAAAATCTAGCAGGTTGACAAAATAATTAGCAAATAATTATGAATAAATAAAAAATTATCAAACACTATAATGAGATGCACTGCAAATTGATCAGTGCATTCTATTATAGAGAGTGCTATCATGGCACGAAGATTATTCTAGCAAGAGAAGAATTGCAACAGAATTATTGCAGTATGATTAAAGAGAAATTGGCATTGGTGCAGTATTATAATAACATAGATATCATCAAGGCATCAATGATTTTAAAACCGGATATCCTCCTGTGAAAAAATTATGGGAATTTACTACTGCATGTATTCGTATACATTTTTATGTGTAAAATAAAATAAAGTAAAACTACCTCCTGGACTATATCCTGTTTGTCCATCTCTATATAGACATTAGACCCCTGCCTCTGTAAGCTGGGTCTCCGAAAAGATGAAGGATACTTATTTTGGAAATTGCGAAGGAAAACGAGAGGAGTTTTCCCAGATGATATAATTTGATCTGTGTAATATGCAAAGAAGAGAACCAGTACCCATTCCACAAACATAATAATTAAGACCTCTATCATCCCATTTTCTCTATCATTCAAATTTTTCCATTGCATTCCAACAGTCCCCATATAACTACCAGTGAAAGAATATTGTGAAAGCTCATACAATCCACGATAAAGAGAAAATCCAGGGTACAACTCCATAGCAATAATCCAGCCTCCTGCAGCATAGCAAGATTCACAGTGGGAGCAAAGGGTAAATTATTATTATAGCCCTTTAAGACTTGATTAGGAAAGAAATTAGTGCAACAATGAAAGAAAGTTTGTTAGTAATGAAAGCAGAAAATGAATAGCAACAAGTCTACCACAGACCAACAACAATAACAACCCAGTTTTGTCCCACGAGAGTAGTGTCTGGGAAGGGTGTGTGTACACAGACCTTGCCCCTACTCGAAAGTAGAGAGGCTGTTTCCAGAGAGACCCTTGGCTCAAGCTGCAAAGATAAAAAAAGATCACAGGAGGTATATAAAGTGGAGAAAGCGCAGATAAGTCACAAAACACATAGAGGCATGGAACAAAATGAGAACAAAGGGAAAAAAACTACAAGTAGAGAGCATCAAACATACAAGGCATATAAAACACAATAAGTACATAAACTACACCCTAGCCTAAAACGCCCACCCAACCACTCTTATCCTAGCTCTCCAAATGCTCCTATCTAAGGCCATATCCTCATACTAAGGGCAAGAAGTCTTAAGCCTTGTCTAATCACTTCCTTCCAATTCTTCCTAGGTCTACCCCTTCCCCTACTCCCACCAACCAACATAAGTCACTCGCTTCTTCGCATTGGGGCGTCAACATTCTGCTGCCTCACATGTCCAAACCACCTCAACCTAACTTCTCGCAACTTATCTTCCACAAGTGCCATGCCTACACATCCACCGTAACATCCACATCTCTACAACATGAAATCGATGAACATGGGTTTTCTTAACTGCCCAACATTCCGCACCATACAACATAGCCAGTCTACGAACCGATAAAACTTACCTTTCATCCTAGTTGAAATCTTTTTATCGCACAGAATCCTAACGCCAACCTCCACTTAGCCTAGGCCGCTCAAACACGGTTTGCAACATCCTCGTCAAACTCCCCATCTGCTTGAATGACCGAGCCAAGATATCGAAACTTGTCTACGTTGGGCACTAGGTGAGAATCAATCCATACTTCCACTCGTGATTCTATCTCTTGGCCGCTGAAACAGCACTCCATATATTCATTCTGAAACCTTTGGATTACAGGGAAAGGCGCCAAAGTTCCAACTTGTCATTTAGTCTCTCGCGGGTGTCTTCGATAAGCACAATATCATCGGCAAACAACATGCACCACGGAAGCTCTCCTTGAACTCCCTGCATCAGGACATCCATCACCAGATCAAACAAGAAAGGGCTAAGGGCAGACCTGGTGTAACCCCACCTCTACGGGGAAAGGCTCCTCTGACACACTTTACCTTAGTCCTTACGCCATCGTACATATCAATGATCGCGCAAATCTGTGAATGTACGCGATTGGGACCCTTATTGATTCAAGACACCTCCACAAGATTTCCCTTGGCATCCTATCATACGCCTTCTCGAGGACAATGAACACCATATGCAAATCCTTCTTCTTAGCCCTATACTCTTCCATCAACCTCTGCATGAGGTGAATGGCCTCCGTGGTAGAGCAACCAGGCATGAAACCAAACTGACTCTCTGAAATGCAAATCCCCTTCCGCAGCCTTGTCTCAATAACCCGCTCCCAAGCCTTCATGGTGTGGCTAAGAAGTTTGATGCCTCTATGATTCTCGCAACTCTGAATATCACCCTTACCTTTGTACAAAGGCACCAGCACACTCTCCCTCCACTCATCAGGCATCTTGGCCGTCTTAAAAATGACGTTGAAGAGCTTGGTTACCCAAATCAACCCACTGTTTCAGACACACATCCAAAACTCCACTGCAATCTCATCCGGCCCAAATGCTCTCCCCTTTTTCATCCCGCGGATAGCCCTTGCCAATTCCTCTTGACCTATGCATCTGCAATATCCAAAGTCTCGGTGCCTCTCCAGCTCACCTAACTCTAGCCTAGGATCTCCTCCTGCAATCCTGAGGCCATGAAAGTACTCCCCCAAGCGGGGTCACCGCTGCAGCCTCGAACAACACTCTGCCATCATTGGTCTTCAAACATCTCATGTGCTCAAGGTCCCGTGCCTTCCTCTCACGCGCCTTAGGTAGCCGAAAAAGCTTCTTATCACCGCCTGACTCCTCTAAGTCCTTGTAAAGGCGTTCAAAAGTTGCATTCCTTTCCTTAAACCTCTAACTTAGCTTCCTTACGATCGATCTTATACTCCACTCTAAGAACCGTTCTGACCTCCTCCTCACTACAATCCATATACCTCTTATAAGCCACCTTCATAGCTTCCACCTTACTGCGAACCACATCACTCCACCACCAATCACCTTTATGCCGACGTCCAATACTACGACTCACACCAAGCACTTCCCAGGCAACTTCCCTGATGAATTAGCAATCTTAGACCTCATGAATTAGCAGTCTTAGACCTCATGTCAGTGGCCATCCCTGCGGTCTCCCACGCACCTTTACCTCAAACTTGCACCATCAACTTTGGGATATTCTCCTCCCCTAAACTCCCCCAGTGGATACATGGCGAGCCACTAGTAGTTCGCCTTTGCTTCATCTGCTTGATCATGATATCCATCACCAATAGCTTGAGTTGGGTGGTAAGGTTCTCACTCGGAATTACTTTTGCAACCTTACATAGCACCTGGTTGCCCTTGCGCAGAAGGAAATAGTCGATCTGCGTCTTTCCCACTCTGCTAGCAAAGGTAACCAAGTGATCTTCTTGCTTAGGGAAAAAGGTGCGACCACCAAATCACTCGCTCAAGCAAATTCAAGAGTGAGATCCCCTCTAGATTCCTACTGCCAAAGCCAAAACCTCCATGCACTCCTTCAAAACCCTCAATTGAGTCACCAACATGGCCATTAAAGTCGCCTCCAATGAAGACTTTCTCATCCAGCGGAATACATCCTACCACGCCATCCAACATTTCTCAGAGCTCCCTCTTAACATCACCATCCAAGCCAACATGGGGGGCGTATGCGCTCACTACATTGATAACAAAACCACCCAAGACTAAATAGCCATCAAGCGATCACTAATCCTTTTCACCTCCACCACATACTCGCAAAGTTCCGACCCTGATCCTTGCAGTGCCTGAGTACCACAAGTTGAATCCATCTAAATCTCGGGCCTAGGTACCCACCGATCTAGTCTCCTGCACACAAGCCACCTAAATCCCTCTCCTCTTGAGAACTTGCACCAATTCAATCGNCTGGATATGACCTTAAATTCGCATTGCTAACCAAATCCACTATACCCACACAACAACACAGTCAAGAAGAGAGTAAGCAAGCAAATATCAAACACTAAAAAGTAAAGCAACGCTAAAACAAAGTAGCATAGCAAGTAATTAGCAACAAAAGCAAAAACAACACACAACAGTAGTCAATACAGCAATAAATAATCAGTAAATAGAGCAAAAAAGGAGAAAAGTGCTGAAGATATCGGGGCTGATGTCTGGGGAGATTAGATGGTCGTGTGGGGGATATATGTTCAGGCAGGGGGTGAGGGGTTAGATGTCTGGGCAGGAATGTGGGGGGGGGGGGGGCTATGTCTGAAGAGTAGGGCTGAAGGGATCTGGGTTGGTTAGGGTGGAGTGAGGGGCCTATGTTACGATGTGATGGGTGGGGCGTGTGAAGGCTACCGGCGTATCAAACGGCAGAATTGTAGGGTTGGGGGTCAGAGTGGATCGACGAGAAGGGTTAATGCTGGGAAGGTGCGATTGGTGGTGATGGACCGGCAGGGGAGGGGAGAGGGCTGACGGCGACAGTGGCTAAGGCTGGGAATGGCGGTGGAGGGGGCAAAGGTCTAGGAGAGGCTGGGGGTGGGGGTTACTTACCAGGAGGGTGGAGGATTGACTTCGGCTTCGGCCGCCGCTGCCGCTGTCTCCCTACCAGTCGGTCACCATGGCAGCAATGGCAAAAAAAAAGAGAACACGGAAATCCAGCCAACGGGCAAAAAAGCAGTTGTAAGGTCAGGAGCGCAAAGTTAGAGAGAGAAAGTAGATCCCAAAAAATTGGAGAGGTATGCCTCTCAAGGAGAAAAAAGTTAGAGAGAGAAAGTAGATGCCTCTTAAAAACCACTGACCAAGTAATAAATATTTTCCAGACCCTTGATGCAGTAAGATAGCCAAGTCCTAGATTGATAAATGCTGGACAAATAAGATATCTTGGAATATATTGTAGAAAATCTTGTTTGAATTGTTTAGAAACTTTTTGCATTCTATTCTATTCAGAGCAAAAAATATCCTTATTAACGATCATTTTGTCCCTTAACGAGAGTGTAATCCAAACACAATTCTTAAGCTCACAAGCATGTTGCGAACTAGACCTCGAAGGAATTCTAAGCATTGAACCTGCCCATATTAGTGAAATGCACAGATTTTATGTCCTAGTTTATACCCTATATCAATATGAACAAGAGGAAGAATGAAATTCATATATACAATACATCAAAAATTATTCATTTGTCCCTTTATGGCGTTTAACTTCGCCACTAGAGCAAATGCTTCATGGGAATCAATCCCATAAGTTGGTATATAATCCCGGCTCTTTGTTGTTTTAAGTCTTCTCAGACACTCTCCTCCTGTCACCAGTCCATGCTCTTTTCTCCTTGGTAGAAATCGGTTCCCTAACTTCCATCTCCCCTGTCGCCAACCACACCATAGTTGCAGGACCAACGTAGGCAAGATCTTATATTTCTTCTCTCACTACCTCTCAATCCTCGCATTCAGCTCATATTAGAGTCTTTGATTATTAATTCAAAAGGGATTATGCCAAAAATCCCTAATCCCTTCGATTATACATAGGTTTTCACCTTTTAAAGTTGGAAATTCAGTGTGGTCATTGGATTGGACATGTTTCATTGTTGGAAACTTGAGAGCGTAGGCGAAATCCATTACAATCTGCTTTCAATATAAATGTTTATAAATGCATGGACTTTTTAATACCATTAGATTCAATGACCTTTTAGAATCTTGATTGAATACTCATGGACTTTAAGAATACAAAAAAATACTGCAGAATCTACGTTCAATACCCGCCCTCCTATTTAGAATGAGTGTTTTTGAAAAAAAACTAACTCTTTCTTCAAAAAGTGGGAGGTCGCAAATTGATTTCTTCCTCCTACGCAGGTGTGACAGGTGCTATGCAAGGACGCTAAGGTAATTCAAAGTGGGAACCTTACAACCCAACATAAATTACTGATGATGGATGTAGCAATCAGGTGGGCGAAGAGGAAAGGGAGGACGGGTGGTCCACCGTGTATCCACTTGGGGAGCTTGGGTGGGGAAAAGATCCTGGAGTTGATTGCCCGAGTCCAAGAGAAAGGCGTGTGGGAAACCGCGTGCAAGGCCGATGACATAAAACCACAAACTGCATCTTGAAAGCTACTCAGAAGGTGTTAGGCGTAGTCCGAGGCAGTGGGATCCATTAGACAGGGCCAGACAGGGACTGGTGGTTGGATCCATTGTGAGGGCTAAGAGTGCAGCTTCTGAACGTCTTTATAAGAACTTAGAGGAGCGAGGTGGCGATAAGAGGTTTTTCTGGCTAGCTAAGGCACGTGAAAGGAAGGCCCAAGACTTGGAACATGTAAGGTGCGTGAGAGACAGTGATGGTAGGGTTTTGTTTATGGCAATGGTGGTGTCCAACTAGTGGAGGAGGGGAAGGGAGGCTAGTACTAGGCGAGTTGGGCTATCTGAATTCTGAAAAGCAACATGACTTTGTTATTGTGTCAGAAGGAAGTGGACAAATGGTGAGGCCCATTTGAAAGATGAGAGGGGGGAGAGCCTTGGGGATGGATGAGATTCCAGTGGAGTTCTAGAAGATTGTGGGTAGCAGTGGGTTAGTGTGGATTACCAAGGTTTTCAATGTTATGTTTACAACGTCTAGGATGCTTGATGAATGGAGGGAGAGTGTAGTCTTTTTTTTCATCACTCAGTTCAGCGGGGTAATCGAAGAGGGAGAGTGTAGTCATCTCATTGTACAAGGGCAAAGGTAATCTCCAGAGTTGTGATAATTATGAAGGTCTGGGAAGTGGGAATGTGTCATTGAGGCTAAAATGAGGAAGGAGGAGTGCATTCCCTAGAATTGATTTGGTTTTATGCCTAGCCGGTTAACTACACGAGTCATTCACCTCCTGAGGGGGTTGATGGAGTATAGAGCCAAGAAGAGGGACTTACAAATGGTGTTTATTGAACTAGAGAAGACATGTGTGCGACAAGGCTTCAAGGGAGATTTCATAGAGGTGACTGGAGTTCAGAGGGAAACTGATTGCTTACGTTTGTGTGGTCAAGGACATGTACGTCGGGGCGAGGACAAGTATGAAGAATGTCAAGGTGACGCTGACCCTTCCCAGTAGACATGGGGTTACACCAGGAGTCAGCCCTTAGCCCTTTCTTGTTTGCACTGGTGATGGATGTTTTGACTGAGGATGTTAAGGGGGAGGTACCTTGGTCCTTGGTGCATGCTATGAGACACTGAGGGACTCAATGATAAGTTGGAAATGTACCGTCATTCCTTAAAATCCAGTAAGACCAAATACATAAAATGTTGCTTCAGTGGTAGAGCGTTGGAGTCAAAAGTGGGAGTACCGACCCATTCACACTCTATGCCAAAAGAAGACATGTTTCTGTACCTTGGTTTGGGCAAATGGGGATATCGTTCATCTTATTGGAGCCGCTGGGGCAAAGTAGAAGCTAGCTTTAGGTGTTCTTCGCGATAAGAAGATATCAATAAGCATGAAAGGAAGGTTTTATCGGATAGTTACTAGACCGGCACGGCTCTGCTATACGAAGCATAGTGTTGGGCAGTAAAGAAAACTTATGTTTGCCAACATCAAGTGGCAACAATGAGGATGCTGAGGTGGATGTGTGCTCATAGATTATTTTTTCATGCATGCAAAACAAAGACACGCTTGAGGAAAATTTACAATGAGGATTAATGGGAAGACTGAAACTTGAAATCAACAAAAACAAACCCACAATAATCCCAACTCCGTTGGGGTCTGGAGAGGATATACGCAACCTTACCCTTGGAAAAAAATATAGTGGTTGTTTTTTTAGACCATTGATGCATTCATTCATGCATTTACTGCCCAAAACGTCATAGAAAGTAAGAAACTATGAAAATTTAATGTGCCATTTAAATCAACATTTGATAAAAAAATAAAAAAATAAAAAAGATAACTGCAACAGCAATCTTTATGCTTCCAAACTTACTTGGAAATGATGTATCCTGAACAAAAAACTGAAAAAGGAAGCCACCCAAGAGTCCGGAACCAAACACCATTACATAACCTACCACTGTAACATTGAAACATCATTAGTGGGAAAAAGAATGGGTTCTGACTTTACAAAATAACAGTTCAGTAAGGCCAAACCTGCTGCTGTCTTCACATTCTTAAAAAATGCAGTAATGAGAAATGCTAGTGCAATTTGCAAGTTAATGTAGATCAAGTAAAAAATCAACTGGATGCTGTAATCATTCAGTGTAAAGAACTTTAAACCTGTAAAAAAAACAAATGGAGTCGGTTAACTAGAAAGCAAATTCATAAGAAGGAATCAGTTCACTAGACATAAGCAAATAGCTAAACTTACCTATTAAGGATCCAAAAATCACAAAACATAGCATATAAATGAAAGATATGGCAAGAAAATAAGCATGAGAAATCATCCAATATGGTCCATCTTCAAGTCCATGCATTTTCATAATAATTCTTAGCTTTTGTTGCTTCTCGTAAACTAGAGATGTCAATACAACCTGAAATATTAGTAATAATTTAATTAAATAATGCAATGTAGGTGAGCTGGTGAAGAAAGTGAATAAGTTATTTTGGTTCTAGACTTCTAGTAAACACAAGTTTTATTCATTCATTTTAGGGAAAAGTATACCCATAACCCCTTCAACATAAAAGTTCTTCATAAATCTATAATTCTCGTCTCCATGAACAATATCACATCAGGAAATTTTTTTGTGAAGCCGAAGTTAAAGAAATGCTGTGCTTGTGGTGTAAATAGAAGAACTAGAATGGATCCTACAATGAGGATGAAGAAACAAATTAGTTAAATTTTGAACACCGCTACAAAGAAATACAAAACAAGTTAACTTACCGGAAATAGCTGTATAATCACCCAAGTAAAGAAAAGAGGCCCAAGGAGAGAAGCAAAATCCAGCCTGACTCTTGTTTCAGGCTTTGGCATTTCTTTAACAAACTCAAATAACATTTTTGTTGAAGGGCCAAGCAGAAATTGGAGATAGGCATTGGATACCTAGCATACACCAAAATATGCAAGCCTCTAAAATTATTCTGTTGATGTAGTAAAACATGTAAGAGAACGAAAAATGATTAAATGAATGTAATAATGTAAGCTCATTAGGCAATTAATATACTGTGTTAGAACTTAAAAATCTTTTCTAGTAAAAGTAGGATTGTTAGAAACTCATTGATCTTGATTTCAGCAAGAAAAAAAAATCATTGATACTACCTCTGTCCCCAAAAAAAGCTTCTTGTTTAGGTTTGGCACAAACTTTAAGAAAAGTAAAATTGAGTGGTTTTAAGTGATGCAGATGAGAGAAAGATGGAGAGCCACAAAAAGATTTCCAAAAATGGAAAGAGGAAGCTTTTTTGGGACTTTCCAAAAAGGAAAATCGGAAGATTTTTTTGGGCCGGAGGGAGTAATCTTCTAGGGTGTTTATACTTTATACCTCCCTTCAGTCTTTGTCAATTGTCGTTGAAATGTTTTATTAAAACCTTACCTGCTAAAGGGAAAGATTAATTGATGCAAAATAATGAAAGGATATATTCAGTGGTACGGTATCTACATTGTAATACAGTTTCAGGTACTAACACACACAAGCATGGAAGAAGACAATTAAGCACTCTACAAGAAAACAGTATTCACTTCATGATTTAAATGATCAAGAAAATCTTGTGCACCAGAAAACAACTATCAATCAAGGAAGCTCACGAGTAGAGTACCAAATTCACTGAGCGAGGCACCCGTGCAAGTGATATAGGTGTGTTTCCTGTGTCGTTTTTGTATGTAGCATTGTACCAAATACTCACATTGTAGTGATTTCCATTAGAATTTAAGAAATCATATGCTGCAAAACACAACAAGAATTGAGGGGTACTCCTTTTAGAGCATATCATTACTATTGCAGAGTAAAGAGACATGTAAGCAATAGCTGGCAAGTGGCAAATAAACCTGCTATTATCTCATTTATCTCTTTCTCTAAATTCCCTTTTCTATACCCTCTATAAAGTTCATCGTTAATTTTAGATGAACTATTACGCCATAAATGTAAGCCTTGAGTGCAACTGATATCTGCATCAAAAAGTAATAGAAGATTAAAAGAGATGTATCGAAGAACTTTAAAATAAATCAAAACAAAATTAAAATACCCATAAATGCTTATGTCAGAAATGGATTAGTTTCACGCAAAGAAACAATGATTTATTAAATAGAAATAGATATGAAAAAGTAAGCTATTCCAAACCTTGTTGCAGAAAGCGTGAACCTATTCTCAAAGGAAGTGAAAATGTATAGTTTGAAGCACACGAAGGCTGAATACTGTACACTGCTAAATTTGAGGAGAAAGCTGGTTCCACAAAATTAGAATACGCCGTGTATGATCCTGAACCCTGAAATACTTTGAAAGCTGATTCCAAAACAGATGAAATAATTCCACCAAAGGAGCAGAACTACGCAAAAACATGGTCATATACCTAATATGATATTAGGGGAGACAACAAAACATGCAAGAGAAGAAAAACTCACCAAGAAATCATCAGCTAAATTGTAAGGAATTTCAGAAGAATTGAGTGTGGTTGGGCTATGGAACAAATTTCCACCAATGCCTATCAAGATCCAGAAATAATTTTAAAAGGTGGACTAATAACACTACAAAGAAATAGTGAATCCATTTGGAACATATCAGACTATAGATGAAATACATCGTCATACTTTCAGCAAATGTTTTATTAGCTCCAGTCAAGAGTATAACCGCTGGACAGGATCTAGTGATCTTGCATGATTTTGTGGGTAAATCTTTGTATGGAGTAAAATCATTTTGTACTGCACGATATTCTACTCTAGGTATCTGTAACAAGGGAGGCCATTCTGGTGGATGAGGAAGAGGACAATTGACTGCTTGATCCAAGGTTGAGTACTCAACCCCACAAACTCGTTCACAATTTCCATCTCCATTCTTATCAACACAGGTGCATCCACACCTTCTTGAAGGCTTATCCAACTCGTTATTCACCACATATTGGATAAGCACAAGCAACAGACAGATTACTACTGGGAACAAAATGAGTCTTAGATTTGTTCGCACATTTCGTTTCTGCAGCCAAAAAATCAGTTGGACAGAAAACCTATGAATAAAGAAAAACAAATTATTCTGGCAACTTTCATAGCAGATCATTCTTTGTTGGTACATGAGAAAGGCAGAACACACACACACACACACACAAATATATATATATATATATATATATATATATATATATATATATATATATATATATAACTATACTCCCATAAAAAATTTATGCATAACAAAAAACTTTGAGTTTGTTTTGGTCGGTGGGGTGAAGTTGTTGAACTTGCTCAAACAATGGTTTGTATACTGAATTATCTCAATAATATCAACACATCCCAACCTAGTATAAACCCAACTTCATTTCTTCTAGAGTTCTAGGTGTCAAGATGTGCACAGCCTGCTCGTTCAAAAGAAGGGAGAGGTCATCTCCATTAGAGCATTGATACACTGTTGCATTCACTACCCAAAACTTCATACAAAGTAGCAAAAGACGCTTAATGTACCATTTTGATTTAGGCCATAATCAAAAACATAATTTAAAATATACTCATAATAAATAAAGAAATAATATATAAATATGGCATAGAGGCTGAAGTGAACCTTGGTTCTCTAGCAGCATGCCTATTCGCAAATAGCATTTGTTCCATGTCTTGCGAAGCAGTGTCATTTTTATTTATTGCAACAACTTCAACGAAAAAAGTATCTTGTCCATTTCTTTTTTTTCTCATTATCAGCCGATTCAGCTAAATATGTTAGTGTTCGGGGAAAATTTTGCCAATAAAGCTAACTATCATAAAAGAAGATGCAACAAAACATGCAAATTAGGTTGAAGTGGTTTAATTGACTGAATTTGCTATGGTGTGACTAACATGGTCGGTTGGGTCGATTGATTTGAATTATATAACATATATTTAAAAATCATGTTTTAATAAGTTAAACAAAATAATATCAAAATGATAGGAGTAAAAGTAACTGCTATCCTCATTTTGGTTATTTCATAAAAAAGAGTAGCTTATGCACTTCTTTTCAAAGACTCTGCTAATTAGTCGAATAAGTTTGTTTTTGTAGATTATTCAACAATCTTGAAGATTCCCAAAAACGGCCTAATTTTCACTTGACAAACTCAAAGGTTAGAAGTAGAAAAAACAGGCAAACACTAGGCTGTTGGTTAATTCCAGTCCAGAATATAGTTTAAATTTAAAAAATAAATAAAAAAGGGGCAAGCAGTTAGGCAGGCAGTTTTATGACAGTTTCCAACACATATGTTGGTTAGTAACTGTTGTGTCTATTTGTAATGGTTGTGTTGTTTAGTCCTCTATTTACATGTATGGACACATAGTTCTGGACAGCAGTTCCACAATAAAAAACACTATGTTTATATACTCCAGATCTGATTTTTTTCTCTCAATTGGTATCAGAGCCCTGGTAAAAATAAAAAAATCAAACACAGATCTGTGATCAGTAGTTGTCTTGCAATACACCAGAAAAACAATAGTCTGTGATGGAGGCCATCAATACTAAAAAAACAAATGATGTTGTTGTTGTCACCCCGGTTCGAGATGGAGGCTCGACAACGTATCAATGTCCTGTACTCACTACAACAAATTATACATCTTGGGCTATCAAGATGCAGTCGTTTATGGATGCCAAAGGAATTTGGGATGCCATAGAACCACCGAATGCGACAGAGGTGGACGTCAAGATCCAGAAGAAGGCAAGGGCCTTTATCTTCCAGGCACTACCTGAAGACATTTTGATGCAAGTAGCAGGACATGGAGAGGCCAAGGACGTGTGGGATGCACTCAGGGTGCGTTATCTTGGAGCCGATCGGGTTAAACAAGCATGTATCCAAACTCTGAACAGAGAGTTTGAGCTGCTGAGATGAAGGAAAGTGAGAGTATTGATGATTTTGCAAGCAAGATCAGCAAGATCGTGTCTAAGGCTCGGGCACTTGGATCGACAATCGAGGAGAAGAAACAAGTAAATAAGTTGCTTAATTCTGCCACAAACAAGTTCTGTTATATCTAAGCTCCGGGTTTGTCGGTATTAAGCTCGGATTTAAGGAACAAGCTCCTTCTTTTGCAGGATGGGTTGATAATCGATGGTCTAAGTTGGATAATCGATTATTTGCTGGTTCAGTTTCTTGGATTTTCGGGAGGGATTGATAGTCGATTATCAGTATTCTGATAATCGATTGTTTCAGGCTGCAGATGTTTCAAAGTAGTACGGATAATCGATTGTCAAAGGGGATAATCGATTGTTGAAGGCTGCAGGTTTTTTCAACGACGACGGATAATCGATTGTCAATCAAGATAATCGATTATTGGGCAGAATTCTGGGCAGGAAGAAGTGTGTTTTGTGGGGAAATGGCTTGGAAAGATATGGAGATGATGAAGGAGTTCTTTTGGTATTTTTAATATGAGGAAAGAAAAGGGGATTAAGGATAGAAATGGTGGGGAAAGAAATGGATAGAAAATAATGATGGATAAAACCAAGTTGGTGTTAAGAGATATTACACACCCTTATCTTAACTTGGGGTTTGAATCTAGAATTTAATTAAGATATGACACACTTAATCAAATATCTAGAACCTAAAACTCACACTTAAGATAACC